CTCTCTCTCTCTCTCTCTCTCTCTCTCTCTCTCTCTCTTTCTTTCACCTGTGTTATACATAGTACACTCAATTGTTTGACTCGTGGTTCCTCGTACTTTTCACACCACTTTGAAGACTACCCATTAGCTGAAAGGTAGACCTTTAGGATTGTGCACATAATCCACTAGACTCAAATTTCAGCAAGCACCTTTGGACAAAGAAGCTTCCGCGTCCTTTATCTCCGAGCTAAGTGATCTCAGATGTGCAAGAATCTTGTTGAATTTTGGTTTCTTCTGTGTGATGGCAATGGAGATGTCATTAGGGAAGAGGTCACGGAGGACGAAGGCATGAATGATGGTCGTGACGAGTAGAGCTGTCACAGTGAAGGTGGAGATGGCGGAGAGTCCAACTGAGAGCGACTGTGTTAGCACATTGGTGACTTTCATGGAGTACTTGATGGTGGCAATAGAAGCACCGGTCATCGGGAAAGTGTACGCCCACCAAGCAAGCGAGAACCTGTCGAATCAAGACCTCAGTCAGCGACAGAGGCATAAACAGCAACATAAGTCAAGATTAAGAAAGAGAAATGTACCTGAAGCCTCGGAAGAAATTAATCCGCACAGCCTGCGAAACAAGGAAGAAATTTGCCAAATTAGTTGTTGGATGATCATCTTGTAGACACACAACTCTTTGATCGAGGTACTCAAGATGGGCAGAGGCATGGAACTTACGAGAGAAACATAGAGGAACAGAGCAATGAAGTATCCGATCTTTGACCCGTGTTCGAAGTCGCCGCGAATTCTCGCCCATGCCATGCAAGCCACACTCGGAGCAGCCACAAACAAGAAGAACACGGGATGAAGCTCCTTAGGAAGCGTTTCGTTGGTGGGCAGTCTCTGATAGAGAGTGACGAAGAGCACGATGTAGTGCGCTAAGCCGACCGCAAAGAAGAAGATTGGACCCTCTTTGAGCCCCATCGATGCGCCCAACAGCGCGCCGACGAAGTTGCCGACGATGGATAGGTGGTTGGAAGGATTTGCCACCTTCGAGAGCCTGCGCTGTCCTCCGGACATCCACTGGCCATAGATCTTGAGCTCGAGGAACAAGATGGGGGCCATGAGCACATACCAGAGGCCTGCGCGTAGGTATACCGCAACCGATGGCGGCACACCGAGTGCTAAGAAGAGGCAGGCGATCCATGGAGCGAAGAAGAAGTTGACGCGGACGGGGTGGTAGTACTCGCGTCGCACCGCTTCAAAGTAGAAGATGAGTTTGCACGAGTAAATGAAGGATACAGTTCCCATCAATGCAAGCGAGATGCTCCAGAGAACGAGGTTCACAGTCGGGCTTACATGCAGGAAGCTCATGGACGGAGATGTGGCCAACGTCTTCCATAAGATGGCTTGGCTACTGATGCCAAGGCACATACCGAAAGAAGATATGGGGAAACGAAGAAGGAAAGGCCACATCTTGTCTTCGGGAAGAACCGAAACCTCTGATGCCTGCAAAATGTCATGAGTAATAGGAATTATGCATCGATGATCAAACAGGAAGATGATTGATCAGGAGAAGAAGAAGATGATGATGATGATGATGATACCCTTAGAGTGTCTAGTTCGGGTCCTTCCAAGGCATCAAAGTAGCGGTCGATCGCAGGAATGGCTGCTTCATTAGTACGTGAATCATTTGCCTCCAGATCTGGTTCTTGTGGCCTTCCTCGCAGGTTCGACAATTGCCTTTCGAGCCTTCCAGACCATGTCTTGAAGGAATCATAGGTTTTATCCCTCTGGTTGTCGCTCCTGATCGCCCTCTGATTACTCTCAAGTGAATCTGTGCTCGTCTTTACGTCTGAAACTACAATTTGTAGACTCTGAGATTGGAACTTGGACTGCTTTGTTTGTTGCGAGTTGATGGAAGCAGAGTCAGGTTGGCTCAGCTTCACATCATCGCCCTGTTCACCTTTGTCACCGAGCATGACCTTTCTGACCTGTTCGATGTGAAGCCCCGAAGGAGAGACCGGCAGGCTAAATAAAAGAGAGTACGACCGATGTCTTAATTGATCTTCCGGTGTTGCAAGCACTGCAGACTTGCCAAGAGAAATTGCGGAGCCATGAACGTTACCAGATTCGGACTCCTGATACAGATAATACATCAGAAAAGTAATTAGATGGTGAGGGCGATATATAGGAGAGAAAGCAGAACGAACATTGGGATAAAGGATCCATCTGATTATATCAAACACAAGCGACTTACTTCGCCGAATGTTACAACTCCTCGAGGGACGAGGACGGAAGCCGCCTGAGGTTGAGAAGCCATGCCATCGCCACACTCCACAGCACCAAATCCAGTCGCTGCTGTGGATGCAACCTGGTCCGAAAAAGGTGGAAGCTCCTCGGGAGCCACACGCTTTGCCGAAACCTGGACCCGGTGGTGATCTCTGTTCTCCATCGCAAGTGATCACACCTGCACCATGCAAACAATGCAGCACATGAGAGGTTATCTCACGAGCACTGACTTTCTGCAAATCGTTGCATGGACACCACTAGAATGCAAGAAAAATTAGAGAGACACGGGACAAACTGAAGAGATACGTGATAATAGGACTTCCAAAATATAAGAATGGAATCCAGCCAACCATTCGATCAATATCAAAGAAGGAATAGAAGGAAGAGACAAAGAAAAAACACTTTCGTATAACAAAAAAGGACCGGTGGTCGAAGCATGTGTGTGTCTCAGAATCCCCATGCGCTTCCTAAGCCAGAACGCAACTCTTCTCAGACCAGAAGAATAAAGCATATTTCAAACGAAAAACTGGAGGCAGGGGGGATGATTGTCCTGAGGACTGCAGGCATGAAGGTTGTGAATCCACCAGCAGATCAAATAGATTAATTCGGACTTACTTGGATTAACTAAGTTGACATCACAAATAATATGGCCATATTTGTGAAACGATTATTGTCGTACGCTGAAAAGCCATATTATTATCGAGTGTTCTCTCCTGACAACTTGACATTTGTGAAACATCACCGAGTGGTCACTCCGTGGTTCACTTGTTAGGTGTGACTGACCATCAGGTACGAGTAAAGCTTCCACTTAATTTAGCATGAAATTATAGGCAAAGTTGTAGAGCTGTCGAGCATATATTATTTACACACAGATACAGACTAAACCATAGGAGTTGGATATTCTTCAAGATAAAAAGCACACAGGAAAAGAAGCGGCACTTGTTTGGATTAAGGTTAGGTCACGTACCCTGTAGCCTTGGCTTCAAAGCAGGTGGAAGAACAAATATGAAGCTCTTCGGTTAACGTCGACCTCAACAACAATTCCTTGCGGAAGAGTTGAGCAATGGACTCGGAGAAGGATTACAAGTCTTCTGAGAGGATGTGATGGGGAAGAACAATAGATAGAGCACGTCGACACGAGGAGGGAGTTAGAGGAAGCAGGGAGGAGGGAGGAGGAGATGGAGTTGCAAGAGCAAGTGCGAGAGGATTTATATAGAGGTGGACGATAAGAGGGCGAGGGTCAGGCACGGACACCACGCCGCACCAACCATGGAGAAAGTGGATTGGTCACGTTGCACAGCGCCAGCCCACGGCGACTCTGACGTCAGAAAGCGAGAGGCGGAGTTGGTGCGGGCCGAGTCAGAGTGCTAAAGGACAGTGAGCGGGTTAGTGATCCTGAGGAAAGGATGGCGAACGCTCGAGTGGGCTCGTCATCCCTGAGAATGCACACCAGAATAAGCATCGATGCCACACCTGTTTGATCGCTTTATCTTTACGGTGTTCCATGGGGATCACAAGAGCTGTTTGTTCTCTGTAAAGAGGAGAAACCTCCCCACTGTTAGATTTTCTTCCTTTTTGAGCTCTGAATAGATTAATCTCTCTTTATCACGAGTGTTGTTCTCGGCAAATTGCTTGCATCGGATGGGAGACACTCAGTAGCAGTCTCTGGCCACAACACACCGCAGAGCCCACTTGAGTTGCAGCAGTACGACCGAAGCTAAAGAACTCAGAGTAGGCATCTGTCACTCACCCCCTCTCTCATCTATCTACCTAATTCGCCATGTATGTATGGCGGGCGTGGAACATGTTTGATCCATGTCATCGACCACATCGGATGTGCCCGCTCGGGGATTCGAGTTCTGCCGAGCTCAGCCGTCCATAGTGGAGCTCGCCGGTCGGATCGCGGGCTGGATAAGATGTGTTTTTTTCTTTCTTCGAACTAGTGGCAGTGATTTGTTCCTACAGATTTCCTCTTTCTTTGTTTTTGCCCCTGCACCTTCTGGCTTCAACTTGTGGAGTCCAGTCGATTTGGTATTTCTTTGGCCACTGCGTGAATCTCACACTCTCTCCGTCTGGGAAGCATGAAAGATAGCACTCAAGAAGGGTGCAGAGTCAAACAAGTTGAAGAAGATTCTACTGTAGAATCGGAAATGAAAGACACGGTCTTACTGCCTATTCTCGTCCTCTGCCTCGTGGCTACAGACTGCACCCAACTGAATCCGTCTTTTGGGCCTCGTCGCGCCTTACTGTCATCCATTCACTCACTCCTCTGTTTCTGAGTTCCGACGTCGGCGAAGTAAGTGGATAGGCTGCATATAAGAGACAAGCCGAAAGTTGTGGCAACTTGGAGGATCGGACCATTACCAGGGCACGAAAAGTTGGAGGCAGCTGCCGGCAAGTGGTGATGAGGTGCATGCACGCCGATGAATCCAAGACGGTGGTGCGTGCTGCAAAAGAGATGGGAACGGAAAGGCGGCGGAGTTGGCATGCGAGCAGAGAGTAGATGGTGAGAGGGTTTTATCTTCATGGGAACCACCCGGTGAGACGTGACTGATCTGACGGAGATCATCAACTTGCTCTAAGATCCTAGAAGAAAAGTTTCACGCTGGATCGTGACAGGTTTTGGAACGTGCGAGGCTCCTTCCTAGCACAAGTATGATGATTCCTGTTATGTCCTTGCAATTGTTAGTCAACAATTTTCTGTATTGTGAGAAATCATTTGAGTTTTGCAGTACAAAAATTTACATTATGCCCTGAATTATAAATATATGTATACATATAATATATTTTTTTCAAAAAAAAAATATCGTAACATTCGATTCCATGGCTATTTTTCCTTTTTTTTTCACGGTAAAATTACACACACACATATCCCTCCAAGTCGGTGATATCTGTATTGTTTCCCATTATAATTAATTTTAGAATATATATATATATAGATTCAAAACTCAATAATTTATAGATTTATCTTACTAGTTAATCATTGATTGTTCCCCCGATTGAGAAGGATTCCTGAAATATTATTATAATGAAATAAGTGAAAACAATAAGGGATATTTTGAGTATAACATTTTCTAAAAGAAATCGTTATAATATTATTGCCGAATTCTATAATTTCACTACCTCCTCTCACATCACTCAACCTGACATTGACGTCTTGGTCTGACCCGACCCACTACAGTCATATGGGTTGCGATCAAGAATGTATCTTCCTCGGGCTTCAGCCCTTCAGGCCCTGTTGGACGTGTCTTCCATTAGCTTCAGGGCTCTGTTGTTCCTTGGGAAGAAATCCCCGTGTGTGTGTGTGTGCGCGAGAGAGAGAGAGAGAGAGAGAGAGGG